ACACTCCTTTGATCTGTTGGAGGTACAAATAATTAGTCTGCTAAACACTAACGCAGGATGGCGCTACGCTGCTTTAAATAGTTCCAGACTTTTGTTTCTAATTTTAGTAATCTCTATTTAGACGTCTGTAAAATGGTACTATTCTCTGAGGAAAAAGCAAAGATTTAAGTTGCTTGAATGGGTACGCTAGTGAACCTGGGACCGTGTGAGTTATGTGTCAAAAATTCTTACGGAGCTTAACCACAGAAGTATTTTCGAGAGAAAGTGACGAAGGGCTAACTCTCGAAACGTTAGCCTTGAAACTCTTTCCGGTGGCCAATTTACGTTATCAACTCAGTTTATAATACTGAATTATACTCTCCCACCGACGAAGCACCACAGTTTCTTAAGAATTTTAGCCCCTTTATCTATTTCCGAGAGAGCTGCTTTAAATTCTCATTTTACGACCTGATTCTTCTGAGAGATTTCTTGCGTCGTTATCTTCAAACTTGTCAGGCTATAAAACACTTTTTTGATTAGAAAAAAAAACAAAAAATAGGGCGAAAGAATTAAGGATAAAACAAGAAGGAACATAGGTGGCTGGTGATAGTGAAAATTAGAAAAGATTAAATATGACACCTAAAGACAACTAGATTCAAATTTTAAAGATACTTCAATTGTGGTCTTGCTGTTTCAAAGCAAGAAATGAAATTTAGTGTAGAATCCAGGCCTCCCTCATCCCAGCTGTCTCTTACTTTCAAATCCCGTGGAATTAGTGGCCGAGGGGTGGGTGGGGCGGGGGCTTTCGTGTAGAAAGTGTTTGGCCGCGATAACCACAGCACCTTTTATCTTCGAAATACTTTTATCCCTTGTCGATTTCTGGAACTGTGCATGGGTGGGGGGTGGAGGGTTTGGTTTTTTACAGATAATTGATTGAAAAACCCTCACTGTTTGGCCTTATCTAATTTGGCTAAACCTGCAGTACACAAGAAATATTCGGGAAAAGCTAAGTTTATGCGTGTTTGAGCAAAAACTAAGGGCTGGAAAAAATAATGAAAAAATCAAGGAGATATCGGTAGTAGATCGTATTTGAAATAATGTATTTTCTATCTTACTGCCTTATACTGTATGTATTAATGCTTCTCTTTAAATCACCCCATTTTCAGTTATAACTACAAATGAACGGCAAAATATTCGTATCAATTAGATTCTCGCTTGAGTGACTATTACCTTTGGTTGAATTGAATTACACAGTTCAAGTTTTAAAAGACTTAGTTTAATTTGCTTCGGAAATCAGTTTTCTATGCACCCGTTGCACTGAACAAAAACGTTCACATATTTTGTTTGTTTCTGTATTATCGAAACAAAAGATAACTAACGTCTCTGAGCAATGTTCACCCCCTGCAAAATGATAAGAGACCGTTGAGGTTTTGATTATAAACGAAAGGGGCAGTGGTACAGCTTTTAGGCATGACCAGTTGCTTTGCCAAATTCCAGCTGTACATTTCCCTCGATTTTCTGCGCTGCATTTTCACAAAAATACATGAGTTTACCAATTAATGCCTGTCGGTGACAGAATAGCGTATAAAAATACTAATTATGATAATGATGATAAAATTTAGAATTTGAACTTAATTGTCCCTACATTGATTACAAAGTCAGTGCTGTTGGGATAATTTCCTTGAAAGCGACAACTGTCTTCATTTGAGTCGATCAACGGTATACTTGATAACATTCAAAAAGCAGTTGGTAATTTTCCTTATCAGTGTTTGGATTGGAAGCTGTGTGTATTACGTTTCTTTAGTGTGCCATCTTAAACTCTCTCATTAAATGCGTCAATGAAGACAGCCATTGACAGTGTTATGCTATAACAGCAGTTCCTATCTAGTGGAGTATCGTTGTCAAGTATGTCTGTGTTTTCTCTTCGCCAATGTTTACCCAAAAGCATAAGCCTTTTGTGAATTTGAATAGACTTTAATTTGTGAAAATAAGCTGAAAACCGATTAATACATTGTAAAATTTGCTTAATTTCTTTGAAGGTGTTAATGTGACTTTATTTCGTGTACTGTTACTCATGTTAAAAAAAATAATAACCTCAACAACAAAAACAAGAAGTGGAAGTACTTGAAACGGAAACCCAGTTAACTTGATTCTTGCTGAAATTACGACTGTCATACGCAGAACTAACCAGTATTTACTGGCAAGAGATGTCTTTGTTGTCGAAAATTGCCCAAACAATCTGATTCCGATTTCCGTTGCATGCAAAAACCAAAGCAGGTGACACCCCACTGATATACAGCAGCTTCGCTCATATCGCGAAAATTTAATAGAGTAGCTAGGAAAAACCTTAAATGCAATTATTGGCATTATCTCAGCTAGTTTTCCTACCGAGATAACAATGTTTTGATTTTGCCGAAAGCGCAAGACAATAATGAGATTGTTAAAGGTTTTTGTCGGCAGCGGAAACTCGAAAGCAAACCAACTCCAACATGCAATAAAACAAGACTTAAACAGTTTTAATTTTTGATCTTGTTAATTAAGGAATACCGTCCGCAGAGATGGGTGTTAAGAGTCGAGAGAGTGAATAAATTCATCTCTCAATAATAGGTTATTAATGTTGGTTGTACGTCTAGCTAATAAACTCTGGATTTTTCGCTTTTGATGAACCTCTGGTGAAGACAATGAAATGAACGACTTTCTGACCGATTGTTTCGTATTCCTTCTTTGTACGGTTTATTATGGTCACACAACATGCAAGTCGTGTACGCCCTAAAATGTTAGGAAAATGTTTCTGACAAACTCTAAAAGTGGAAAATAAATGGGTGAAGGAGATGGCTTTCCTTACAAGCAGTATTCATTTGTTGGTGCCCGTAGAATGTTTTTCAGCTGTGAGGTTTGAGTGGTTAATCAGACAAGATGTAATTATTAAGGTTTTCTTGCGGGAAAGCATACAGAAATAATTTGGAAATCACCTCCGCCGAGGATAAAACAAGTCAACCTTTCATTATTGCTTGGTTTAAGAAGAGTTTTTCTCGATTTAAGGAACAAATAACTCACTGAAGCTTAGAAATTGTATTCAAACTCACTGTGATGTTCTGTAGAAGTAACTGTACATACATTTCTATCTTTTTGTTAATTTTTGTTTAGCTAATTTTATATTTTTTTATATGTCGAATGTATTGTATCCCTATCTACTGGGTAAGCACGCCAGATACGAAAACAGCAAAAAGAAAAAGGCAAAGAAATAACAAAAATTTAGAAAAACAGTGAAACTGCTCGTGGCTGTACGTTATTTTGATCAGTGTGTGGGGGATCTTTACACTGAAGTACTAACATATGTTATTCTCTCGCCTTAGGGTGGCTTTTTTCATGTTTTTTCTTATTCCTGACCGAAAAAAAATAGTCAAAACCACGATTGTTTTGTCTCAAGAATATAATTAATACATTCAATTTAATTTAATAACATTGGCGTAAACTGTTATGTTAAAAGGATGAAAACAGTCTCTCTTTTATTTCGATTTCAAGCAAGTTGATTATTTTTTAAACAACACTTCGTTGAAGTTCCTGTATTTACTGTTTGTTTAAATTCAAGTTGAGCCATGCGTGGTTATTGAAGTTACCGAGCAAGTGCAAATTGTATCTCAATGTGCCAGCCTGGAGCACTTAGTGGTGACCTATCTTTCGGACAAAAAAGCGGGGGATGTGAAAAGCTTGGTTGATTCCGAACAGACGTTGACATTTTGCTGAGAGTTTTCCATTGTCGGTACGTTCGAGCACGTGGACAAATCCGGTCTTAGCAGACGCTAATCGAACTAAAATAGAAATGTATTCTCATGTCCAAGGGCCGCTGGCAGTTCCAGATTAATTATTTTCAACATGTCTGTTTAAGTTGTATCTTGACACGTAATCTTTTTGTATTTATTAGAAGATAATTTGTAAACAGCTGTCTACCAGATAAGGGATGTGTTTTTGTCTTTGCAATACGAAGGGCTTATTCTGGTCACGAAAAGTCTCGAAGTTAACCTTTGCTCCCCTCTTTTGGCGGATATTTTAACAATATCTAAATAACACCATGTTGCCTCTTCTCTTCACGCGTATCAAAGCAACAAGAATTCATAAAACAAGGCAACGAAAACTTGAAATATTGATTGAAGAGACACGAAGGTTCCCTCCAATTTTCAGACACCTCTCGAGGACTCTGTTAATATCTCCGGTCACAAAAGAATTTTCGAGATAGTTGATTCTTTCCTGATTTTCAAAGAATAATTTTACCTTCAGAGATAGCGAGATATTAAGTTTGGTTAAGTCAACATTTTCCCCTTAATCCACTTTCCGTTATGTTTCTGATGAAATCGCCGGCGAATAATCCGTATACGTCACATAATCAAATACAAAGAAAACGAGACCAACCAGTTTCATCAAAGCGGGTTTTATTTCAAAAATTACAATTCTTTTTTCAACTACAAATAATCTCTTTCTTATCTACAGAAATTCAATTTAAATCATCTATAATACATTTTGTGTGCCGGGGAGTGTGAATTTAGCTTCCTATGAAATTTTTTTGGAACACAACTAATTTACAACCCGTTGTTTTTTTTTATTCCTTTTCTTTAGAAAAATTTGCAACTCACAAAGTAGCCCTCTCAACACTTTGTGTCAAGCTTATGTAAAACAAATCGAATGTGCGAGTCCTTTTTTGCATCAGACAGTGCTTTTAGCAATCCAATGTTGTCACAAACTTATCGTCGACTTCAAACATCATAGAAAATCCCAAGAACTTTAATAAAAGGTTGGTATTTGATACTAACCCAGTCGCAAAACGTACAAACACAAACACACGCAAACCAAACCACACCAGAACTGAGACGGAAAAATCTTATGTGTTTTACACAGAGTTGTTTTTTGAAAGCGAAATCCTCACTTAAATTCAGTTAGAAAAACATCGTACACTCAGTTTCTATATACACACGTTGATTTCACGGCTGTTTTAAATTATTTCTTTCAGCAGAGCAGCTTTTTTTTCCTCCTATCGAGCTGATAGAGTTGTCAGCGCTAAAGCTGCGTCAATTTCTCGATAATTCGACGTTTCTACGGTTATGCTGTGGAGAACAAGGAGAAAAAATAAAACATTTCAGATTTAAAAGATCCAACGGCAACTAAACGAAGACCCACAAAGGAACCACCTTGACAAACTGCGTTTGTTAATTTTGATATGACAATCTCAACACATGTTCCAAAGAAGTAAACAGAAAGCGTACTCTTCACAAAATATATTTTCAGCGAGACAACACCATTTCTTTGCTTCCGATTTGCCAAACACAAGGTACATAGATCTCCGAACCCTAATCAAATTATCAGATACAGATATAAATTATTCCTCGTTCTCTTTAGAGAATGTTTGAATTGTATCTTGTACAAAATAAATGTTAAGTGTCCTGCAGTTTTATTGTTTACCTTTTGCTTACGGTATTGAAAGCCCTCGCCGTTTCCTCTTTCCTCTCCAAGGTTATAGGTTCCTCCTTGGAAGAAGAACTTCTGTGGGGTGACTGACTTTCTATTTCTTTCTTCTCTGTTTCACTTTGAGAAGGTGTCGAACTCCGTACTGTTAAAAAATACGAGAAATATTTTGTGAACACTCGCACGACCCGGCAACTGATTTTGAGACGGGTTATTAAGAAAAACTTAGCAATCAAGAGGGAAGATTTTCGTTAAGTTGTGCAAAACGAAGACAAGATTCAAATATTGAAATTTATTTACGCAAAGTAAAAACTCTGTGTTTGTGTTTTAAAACTGCCCAGCGGAGGGTTATTTTCTTCATCGTTCTCTCGTTTCTGAAAGCGTTCATGGGTCGGTAATTATTCTAAACGTGTCTGGAAAATTAACACTTGAAATAAATTTGTTGTGAGGCAACAAAGGCCCTTCAAAGTATTGCTGCGCTCCACAAATTCTCAGTGGGCAATGTAACATCACTGATTTTCGCTTCAAAAGCGAATGAAGTACTAGAGTGCAAGGTAAAATAAATCTGTTTGTGGGGAAATTTAAACCATGTTAGCATGTTATTCAATTAGGGTCTCATGTATAATTTAGCTGGGAAAACAATTCGTTCTAGATGTGATCTGTACCAGACGATAAACGTGTCAGTTCGCACCAATTTGGTGAATAGTGAAGATTTTCATGAATGCTGTAAGTTTTAAAAAGCAGTAAATCATCACACTGAAGGACGAGTTGTGCTGCTATCAAAAAAGGAAATATTTAATTATTCGCTTAGAAGTCAGGATTGATCACTGAAGGTCTTTACAGAGCGAGCAATACTTCTCAAGTGTGTGTCTTTTTTAATGAACTCTGGCAGACATAAATGGCTTCTTCAGACAAAGCACAAATTGCTTGTGATATATCTTGTTCTGTGACCAACTACAATCTTTCCTCTTGAAATGACGCATTTAGAAACAATGATTGCATCCTAAGCTTGCAAGTAAAGCCGCGAAAAATAAATAAAGCAATGGTAATTTGTGTCGTCTCTCCGGAAAGTATTCGATCAGAGTTCAAGGTGGTTTTCTAGAAGCGATTTTGGATACCCTGCACGAAAACAGTTCTGTCGAAACTTTTAAAACTAGAAAATCATCTCCGTTTTGGCTCTTACCTAAAGGAAAACCAGTGACCTGAGAGTCTAAATTTAACACAAAGGTGGAAATTTGCCACACCGCTAAGGTTGCATGCAACATTTTCAGGATACCAAAGTTCACCCTAGAGTGATTGATATTTCTGTAACGAAATCCCCGACTACCCTACACGTAAACCGCGCAAATGAATTTACTGTACATCGCCAATAAGCTAACGGGATCCAAGCCAACGGAATATCAAAATTACTAAACCACTTTCGTTAAACAGTGTACCCTTAAAAACCATTACAAGGGTATTTTTTCAATAAATAAAGGGGCCATGGCTTATTGAAATTTGGCAACCCCTGCTCGAAGCCATATTACAAGGAGGCAATGTTTAGTGCCGTTAATGATCCATAGTAATCGAACAATACAATGTTCTCAGTGGCACTTTGAGCAATGGTAAGAGACCATTTCGTAACTATTTTATTCATTTCTCTTTTATTGCGTTCAAATCTTACCTTGTATGATGACAGACGCTTCGGTGGACGATTTCTGAGGGGGTGTCGATGGAGGTGTTTCACATGTCGAAGGACTGGTATTCACAAGACTAACAGGCGTGTTATGAAAGCATCCATCCACCCATTTCCTTAAGCTTTTGACTGGAGAATCTTCTGGGTCACCAGTAGTAACACACTGAACAGCCCGTAATGCTTGAAATTGAACGACAGGATTAGCCGTTCTGTTTGGCGAACTTTCCGTGCTCAAGTTATGGGTTTTTTTAGGCTGCTCCGCAACATCCATCGTATTCGACGGCGTGTTTTCCTCCTTTTCATCTTTCTCGCGCGTTTCTGTTCAACAAACAAAGGATACGTGGGAGTTTTTTCTGACCACTCAGAAAAACATTCCATTTAAAGTTCCCCCGTGTTTCTCTGAGCCACTCACTGATCTCAAAGTACCAGCCATTACACAAAGATAGAAATAGCTTAATCCGAAATTGTTTTCGTTGTTTCAGAACAGTACGTAACGCTAAACTTTACAAGCGATAGCACCCACGAAAAACAACAATTTTGCAACAAACTGTATGAGGACCACAGCATGATTTCCAGCTGTAGCGCTAAGAAAGTTTATTACATCTCCGATCTGGCTTTCTCAGAAATTTCAAATAAAGAAAAAATCCCTTCTCGGGCCGATGTCTAGCAGGCAAACACCAGACAATACAAACACTAGACGCGCTTAAAAATAGATGAGTTGTATAGAAGGACTTTAGCTTAATCCCTGACAATATTCGACCGATATATCTAAAATCGACGAGTCGATGTAAACAGGAATATGTTTCCACAATTAATACCTTTAATGTTAGTTATATTTTCTTCTTTATCATCGCAAAGTTTCTCTTCTTCGCTGCCGCTGTGTTCAGCGTCTGAATCGCTTACAGTGTCTTCGTCTTCGCCGCCCTCTTTTTTCTCGCCACATCGATTCCTCGGAGACCAAGTCATTTTATTCTCCTTTTTAAGCCTTCGTCTTGCGTTCGCAAACCAAGTTGAAACTTGCGTTAATGTCATCTTTGTCATTATAGCTAGCATTATTTTTTCGCCTTTTGTAGGATATGGGTTTTTTCTATGTTCATAAAGCCAAGCTTTGAGTGTGCTTGTTGTCTCTCTGGTAGCGTTCTTCCGTCTCGCTCCCGCGGCGGCCAAATCGATCGGAGAAAACCTTTAAAACACGAAAGCCATTTCCAAGTTACAATTTTGCGCCAATTGTAATTTAACTAGTTAGCTGAAATGTTTAATACTAGCTGTGTGTATATTTCTCTGGAGAATTCGATCGTCATTGTTTGCTCACAAACTTGATTAATCTTAACGATATCAGTATTGAAATGATTGGTAAAAGGAACCTTTCCATATTTAAGTTATTCCGCTACTAATAACCAACCTAAATAAAGACAAGTATTGCCTCTCTCAATGTTGCGGTGGGTAGCAAATTCGACTTGCACGGAATTGTAGTTAAACACGTTCACTAGCACAAGAAACTCGAACAGTTTGCTTAAGTGGTCTAGTAACTATCGGCAAAGACATTTAATTTATTTACCTTTCACCGAGTCCCGGACACGATGTGTGGGAATGAGGATCAAACCCATGAATCTCTAAAGGATGTCGAGCAGCAGTAGCTTGAGCTAAGTACCAAGAATCTCTCCACTCTTTGATGTCGCACGCTCGTGCCTATTCGATTAAAGATCGCCCAAGCAAAGAAAATGAGAAAGAACTCAAGAAACAATTATTAGGCTCAATTAACTTAATGGAGAAGAAAAAAATACTTAAGGCACAATTACATCAGTGAAACAAGTGGCGTAAAAGAGAGATCAATTAATCGGGAGACTAGCGAAGGGGGAATAAAAATTACACGAGGTTGCTTAAATTCACAATCGTACGGTTAAGTCTCACTCACTAGAGGCGAATAGAAAGCAGACAAGTCTGCAGTCGATCCTATTGTGAAACCAGCTTCGTTGAACGGCGGTCTTGGAAGCAAGTTTACTGGCATTGTAGAAACTCGATGTTGAAGGACGCGATCTAACTGACAAGGACACAACGAGGGCGAAGATAGGCCGTCGTGCAAAGGTGAACGCACAGATTCACAACAAGAAGTATGGGCGCCTGGAATCATCAGCTGCGAAAAAAAAAACCGAGACGGGTACACACAATCATGTCTGGTTTTCATGGAGATGAAATTTACATTGTTCGTAGCATCGAATGTGGTCGAACAAGTTGCTGACAACTCGAAAATCTTACCTGTGGGGAGAATGTACATCCAAACTGAGGACAAGAAATCTTTGTAGCAGCAGAGTTTGCCATCAGTGTTCAAGACGGAGCATCAAGGAACTGAGTCGATCGACAAGTAGATTGAAATCGTAGCAATCGAGACGTAAATAAATTAACAAGACGAAAAAAATGTTTACTGCCGTATTTCTTAGCCCAAGCTCAGGCCGAGTGAATAAAATGGCTACTGAGTTGTAGCGGTGTCGATTGAGTTTGTTAGGCAGCTAGTATTGATGTACTGTACATACACATGGAACAGTCGTTGAGCACCGTTCAGATCCTGTGTGCACAAAACAATATCTTCAATCGTTTCATCTTGTAGTTTCTACAAGGGCTACCGTCAATTTTGACACTTCGTGACACAACGTTTGCTGGTCGAACCAATCGAATTAAAAAGGGAACAAGCTTTGTATTGAAAACGCGAGAAAATGATTGGCAGAACTTGGCTTGTTAACTAGGCTTACATTTATTATTGTCTACTGCCAACATGGAAAACGACACGGGTGACAGGGAAAACCCGCCCATGTGGGTGTTTTTGCGGAGTATTGCTCCGCCCAACTGGGTGCACTCACTTCTGTTGTGTCTCAAAACAGTGATTGCTGATCGCTCCTTCTAGCTAATGATTGCACTAGCGTAGGAAGTCAGATTGTTCTGGTTATTATCGGCATTATGAATGCGATTGTAGGCTATTCAATACCGCGACATGACATCTCAAAGGGGAGCGCTGTTTCGGTAGCCTTTGCAAACCTATGTGCTTATTGCTCTCTGCTATGTTTATTTTGTTGGTTTACATTTTGAACAGCGCAAACCGAGTGCAAGAGTTTAACATATGGATCGATTGTGTTGTGTTCCCAGTCGCGGTTACTTGAATATCGATCGATCGCTGTATCGGATCATCTAAACTTGTTTTTGACACGTTAATTTTAGCATTCTTTTGGAAATATATTAACATCGTAGACATCACTCACCGATGTGTAATTTCTCTCTTTTTTTTTCCTTCGGGCGGAGAAGAGTTGTATTTTTTTTCCCTTCCTAGTGTGGACCCTCAAGTGATGTTCTCTAGAAGGAAATACTCTACCGACCCGGTGCTATAGATATCGAAGCTCACAGCTGTGGCTGAATATTATTTTATCGCTTCCACTTTCTGGCAGCAGAGAAGACGATTCGATAAACATGAACACGGGAAACCCCCACAGCTGTGAGGCAGCACACAGTGCCAAGAGCTAACACGGCCAACTTATTGAATTTTCTCTATGCGGTTTCGAAAATGATTGATGTCGGTCGCCGAGGACATGCATATACATGTATTTAGATGTAATTCAATCGATTATATGACAATTAACAACTCCAGGTCATACAATTAACTAGCAATTGTTCGAAAAGCTTGTACTACATCTAATTTGTCTTACCAATGATTATTTAAGGAAACGAAATTATTCCGCTCGCCGAACGAAACGAAATCGAATCCAGTGGGACAACGGATGTCGACAGGATTTCGCTCCACGAGACGAAAAATAAACTTGAATTATAACCCTGACACAAGCACTTGGATTTAAACAATTAAGTCTATACCCGTCGTGTTCATGCCTCTTGTGTCCATGTTGTTTATATATCTCCAAACAATGCGCTACAAGATAATGAGGTTCTGTGACATGAAGAGCACGTGGACAAAAGTATTTTTGGAAAACAGTGTCTCACGTTCAATCGAATAAAGCTTCAAAACGCCCTGATTCCGTGCGGAAAATTAAGCAGAATATTCCTGAAACGCAATGAACTCGGTAGTGGCTCATTTGAAAAGACTTCAGTGTGTTTATCTCGTAGGTGTGAAAAACGTCTACAAGATGTCTGCATTTTATGTTAAATAGGTTCGTTTTGCCAACCATAATAACACCGTGTTTGTACTTCTAACACCATTTGCACGGAAATGCTTTCCATTATGCTCTCCTCTAATCAGCCCAGAATCCTCGCCAGACATCTTATTATTCATGAAATTAGCATCGTTGGCTATTTATTCAACTCTTTTACAACCCGACAACTACTACAACAAGCCGGAATAATATCAAAAAGATTACATATTAAAGCGTATTCTAAATTCTGCCTTCACCTGGAGCGAAGTTGCAGTTGCGATCTCCCGCTAACGAAAATGTTAATTTTCCTGCTGAATTGAAATTTGTTTGCCCACTAAACCCATTGTGCCCCGTTGGTAGAAACCACTTGAATTTTGTACATCACTTCAGTACATCTTTGCACGTTAATTAAAAACTCCTTGTGAAGTTATACCATGACGTCACTGATTAAAAATGCAGTCAGGCGAGACGGCACGCGATACACACGCGTTACACACGCGAAATTCAAATTGAACTCAGTTGTGGGGTTGCTTCTCTGAAGGAGGAAAAGGACGAAAAAAGAAAATTATTTGATATGAAAACAAAGGACCCTTTTGGAATAATGTTTTCAAATAGAAAACACAATAATAAACCTCTCACAATCGGACGTTTCTCCCACGGAGATCTAATGACCAGCTTCCTTCTTGACTGCTCGCTTGGAAATGTTTTTCTTTCTTTCTTTATCACTTTTTTGCTGGCGTCTGTTTCATATTATGTCCACAGATCAGCTTTGCCACCCCGAGTTGTTTATTTTTTGTCCTTTTCTGTAGTAGATTAAGCGTGGTATGAATTGTCCTGCCAGCGGTGTCGTTTGAAGATCACCGAAACTTATCTTGAAATAAACAGAGGAAGCCTGTATGTTCCTTGTCCCGGAAGCTATCGACAACGAATTGCGTTGTTTTTCTTTTTTATTTCGGTAAAGGTTTCTATTTCAACGCATTGTTTTGAAAGGAGCGCAAAATAGCTGAGCTTATTTTGAATTCAATTTATCGAAAAAAATATGGAGGACACTTGTTAAACACATGTGCGGACAAAAATTCCAAAATGCGTCGCTGCTAGAAATCTGAAATCCTGAATAAGTTTAATCTGACAGATTCAACCTGACTCATTCGGCTCTCAGCGAAATCCCTCACTTAATAATCGTAGTTTGAGCTTATCTCGAACAAATAGCCTTAACGCCCTTTAAGCTTGGCTGAAAGTGATGCCCAGATAACCAAAACATAGAGGCTGAAAGCCGAATTTCCGGTAAAACTATTGTGATTTTTTTAATTGATCACGTGTGGTATTTAAACTATTAAAAAATCAGAACGCATAAGTACAGCTTGATAAAACTATGAAATTGGATTTGAATGTTAATCCAACGATTTACATTAATCTTGCAGAAAGTTGGTGATAAGATCTAAAAATGAATCTTCATGTGCTCAAACGATTTCATGTATAATGAAATAAGGCAGCCAAGGGCAGGTCATTGTAATTTTAGATTATTCTGATATCGTTGTGGATGAAAACCAACGTAACTTCGCTCCACCTGCGCCATGAGAACACATCTGTAAGCGGAGAGTGTGCTTTCTCTGCTGTGAAGAACACTGATGTTACCCCTGTAAAATTATTAGCGTATATTTTCTTTTATCGTTACAGAGGTATTTTTGTAACTCATTCATTAAGCGTCCCTCTCTCCACAGACCTCTGAAATACCGAACGTTTTTAGTTTTGCACCAAAGCCCCAAAACCTCACTGATGCTGTTTAAGCCTTTACTTCGAGATCGTCAGGAATTCAGTCGGCTTGGTCTCATCTTTTATTTTGTTGTTTGATAAAATGTATTGAGGTAGAAAAGCTCACCAAAAAAGTATATTTGTCATGAAAAACTTACAGACAGCAGTACCAATGATTTGGACAGCTTTAATTAATTTTAGATGCTGTTCAGTGCGACCTGAGGTTAAATTCCCAGACTAAGTCGTCCAACTTTTGATGATTACAAGGAAACCAAAAAAAATATTTAATGGTATCAGTCAGTTATGTCTCAACCATTAAAAGGGGCCAATTGTCACCCCTACGGTGTGAAATTTTAATCATTTGGTTAGCCTAGAGTCAGTTTCAAAATAGTTTAGTGCTAGAATTGCCAATGTCATGTAGGAAACCGGAAATGAGTACAGAAAGCTACTGACATGGACTTTTAAACTGGTTCAGAACCTGCACAACCTTTTTCATTTTCAGCATGTACTGATTCGCGTAGAGTTTCCTCAGAGAACGATTTTAAGATCATTACTGAGGTGCAAGAACTGTAAACCTTTCATCTCTGAATCGGACATTGAGTAATTACGCCGACTAGTCACTGAAAGAGCGGAAGGCCTTTAACTGGCGTGGCTTGTTCCTCTACGTAACAGGAACAAGCAAACATAGTCGAAGCACTTCTATTTGATATCGCTCCAAATTTTAAGTACTTGCGGTCCACGTCGATGAATTAACTGCAAAAAATAAACAAGAGGATTCTTCTGAATACACCTCCAGTTCCGGTCACTCCCTACTAATTTTTTTTTTCCAACTTTTTTCACAGGATATCAACTAAACCGCAAACATATAAACCTCAATAGTGATTCTTTTGCGTGGGCGAGGATAACTGTTCATAACTTTTGACTGAGAAATGAATGAGGAATGATTCCCAATTAGAGAAACCTTTGTTCGTTCCACTATTTTTGGCAATTAACGCAATTACCCTTATGAAATACATGTAATTTTGAACTGTCACAGGAGAACATTTGTAATGGCTCGTGGCTGTTACTATTAATTCATGTGGGTACATTTTTGTTTGCTGCTGAAATTCTGTTAAGGTGACCGACAACTGACGAAAAAATCCATACAGTAAGCAACTTATCAATTTTCGTCCAATTTTGTGGTTATGTCGCAGTAATTTTTCAAAGCTTACTTATTTCATTCATCGATATCAAAGGGGATAATTGACTCGCTGTACGTCTGTTTTATTTCTTTAATAAATTGACAGTTTATGGGGGTGTCTGGCGGAAAGATTTAGGTTAAAAAATTCGTTCATAGGACAGTTTATCACAGTTTTCATCTCATAAACAATTTTTTTCGCAAATTTTCCTTTTCCGGTCATATACTGAAAGAGTAACATTACAATTTCAGATTATCTTGAGAGTTGTTAAATACCTTTGTTAAATGAATTTGACCTCTATACCTGTATAAAGATTTTCTTAATGACTGGAAATGGGAAAATTACATCGCAAAATTTTACTATATTTGGTGTAGTATTTTGATAATTTGAAACACGTTGGCGCTGATATGATATCAGTGAGAACGATTATCAACAAAAAAAGTGACAAGTTTCATTTACTCGCCACAAAATTTCAAATTATACGTTCTTTGCATTTTCATGACAGTTTTATCCAAAGGACTAAGTACATGTGAACTGTTGAAGAATTTTAATAACCGGAGAGGACTCCTTAATTCATCGTTAAGCCTTCGAATTAAATAGGCTTTGCTGTTATTTTCATTGCACTTTGATTAAAGAAAGCTTATTGCAAGTCACCTGTTTTTCATATATTTTTGCTGTGTGACTTGTAATATACTTCCTGTCCACACAAGCAAATAAAGTTTGAAGAGCAGGAATGGTTGCATCTTTTTTTTCTGTGTTATTTTTTTCTCTTAAATTAATACCGGAGCTGTCTTATTAATCAGGACCAAGGGGAAGTCGTTAGCCATGTTTTGAATAATCTCTCTTCAATAAGTTGAAAGAATGTTCTCCTCTGCAAAGAGGGTTATTGTATCATGATCTCATGCTTTCAAACTGAATGGCTTTACCACCGCAGTGAATCCCACGATGTAATTTTTTGTGAAGCAGAGCTTAGTAAAGTTATAATGGTTAGTCACGGTGCAGTTTCTCGGGATCTTTTCGTTTCAATATTGTGGCGTTAAAAGCGCGTAAATTCTCAGAGTTTTCTGACAGTTTGTATTTGTCTAGTTGTGAGGTATGCTGAGCGAATGAACTTTGTACTGTAAAATTAATAGAACACGCCTAAGAACTGGCGCAAGTTTTGGCCACATTTGCTGGTATCGCGTTTATAACTCTCCAGAAGAAACTTTTAAATAAAATTGTATCCGTGCAATTCTGAACGCCGATGCGTTTGCGAGTTTGCAACTGAGCATGCAAAATTGCACGTTGTAGGTAACAGGGAAAATATCCTATAATAATTTATGTCGTAAATAACATTTAAGCCGACAGCTCCCAAAACGATGAAACACCTTAAGACCCTTGCACAAAACTGGCTTCGGCCCAAGAAAAAAAAAGGTTTATACACTTATCAAACAATATATGTCGATTCGTATTGGCCCCGGGAGCAAAGTTTCAGTCATTCCACTCAGCTATGTCTGACACTTGATGCTGGGCGATAACAGTTTCGCAGCTTAAATGCGCTAATTTTAACACTCACTTAATACGAAGCTTGTTCTTTCCTTTGTTAACATGACAGATGACATGAGCTTTATATCAGCTGTTGGCTGAAATGAGACGCTGTCATTTCAGCGA